TGGCCAAAACTCAGGGGCCAAAACCCAGGGGCCATCACGAGGTCCAACAGCGGGGCCAGAACTCCAGAAGCCCTCCCACTGTTGACCCCCCCCAAAAAAAACAGAGCATCACTGCCCCAGACATAAGTACATAAGAGAAGCCATATTGGATCAGGCCAGTGGCCCATCCAGTCCAACACTCCAGTCGCACAGTGGCCCAAACCCAGGGGCCACCAGGAGGTCCACCAGTGTGACCAGAACTCCAGAAGCCCTCCCACTGTTGCCTCCCAAGCACCAAGATACAGAGAAGTCATGTTGGATCAGGCCAGTGGCCCATCCAGTCCAACACTCCAGTCGCACAGTGGCCCAAACCCAGGGGCCACCAGGAGGTCCACCAGTGTGACCAGAACTCCAGAAGCCCTCCCACTGTTGCCTCCCAAGCACCAAGATACAGAGAAGTCATGTTGGATCAGGCCAGTGGCCCATCCAGCCCAATGCTCTATGTCACACAATGGCCAAAACCCAGGGGCCATCAGGAGGTCCACCAGCAGGGCGATGTTACGCTTATTGTTATGTCTATTGTGGCAAAATAGAAGAGAAGTCCAGTGGCACCTTCAAGACTAATAAAATCAATTCCAGCATGAGCTTTCGTGAGTCAGAGTGAGCTCTGACTCGATAGGCCAGAGTGAGTCATGTGCAATGTTCCCTCTAAACTGTGGAGTCTTGTGAGCAAAAATCCCAGTTTGTGAGCTGCTGGCATTAAACGTTGTGAGCGAGCGATTTGGCTGCTACATAAATTAAGTTTGTTCTGGAGCCCTCCTTCCTGAGTTAAGGCAAAAACGTGTGAGCTGGAGGCTAAAGAACAGTGAGCTAGCTCACACTAAACTCCGCTTAGAGGGAACATTGGTCATGTGATACCTGCTATAAAGCATTCATGGCCAGGCTTGCTGACTGGTTGGAACTCCCCGCGCTTCATCTCTCCCTCATTCCAGACTTGACAGCATCCTGGCCAGATGAAGATGCCTTAGGTGGGAGTCTGATCACTGGTCACAGGAACACGTGAAGCGGCCTGACACTGAATCAGACCCTTGATCCATCGAGCTCAGTCTTGTCCACTCAGAACGGCAGCAATGACCCAGGCCCTCAGGGAGAGGCCTTTTGTGCCTCCTTCTATCTGGTCTTTTGAGCCGGAGGTACTGAGGATTGAAGCTGGGACCTTCTGCACGCCAAGCTGGGGCTCTGCCACAAGTCCACGTAACTCAGCGTAGCCATGGCCACGGGCACCGGCGGCTTTAAAAAGGGGGACAGATTCATGCAGGAGAGCTCTCTATCAGTGCCTACTAGCCATGGTGACTGAGGGGAACCTCCACTTTCAGGGGGAGTCAACCTCTGAATCCCAGAGCCAGGCGGCGACATCAGGGGAAGGCCTCTGCCTCTCTGCCCTGCTGTTGGCCCTCCAGGGGAACTGGCTGGCCCCTGTGTGAGACAGGAGGCTGGACAAGATGGACCCTCACTGGTCTGATCCAGCAGGGCTCTTTAGTTGTTCTTCTCAGGGGAAGGCCTCGGCCTCTCTGCCCTGTTGTTGCCCCTCCAGAGGAACTGGTTGGCCCCTGTGTGAGACAGGATGCTGGACTGGATGGACCCTCCGTGGTCTGATCCAGCAGGGCTCCTCTGAGGTTCTTATCAGGGGAAGGCCTCAGCTTCCATGCCCTGTTGCTGGCCCTCCAGAGGAACTGGTTGGCCCCTGTGTGAGACAGGATGCTGGACTAGATGGACCCTCACTGGTCTGATCCAGCAGGGCTCTTCTGATGTTCTTATCAGGGGAAGGCCTCAGCCTCTCTGCCCTTTGCTGGCCCTCCAGAGGAACTGGTTGGCCCCTGTGTGAGACAGGATGCTGGACTAGATGGACCCTCCCTGGTCTGATCCAGCAGGGCTCTTCTGATGTTCTTATCAGGGGAAGGCCTCGGCCTCTCTGCCCTTTGCTGGCCCTCCAGAGGAACTGGTTGGCCACTGGGTGAGACAGGATGCTGGACTAGATGGACCCTCACTGGTCTGATCCAGCAGGGCCCTTCTGATTTTCTTATACTTAAGTGGAGAGATCAGGGACTGAATTCGTAACCTGACCGTTTGATGGAGAACCAAACATCAATTCTAAACAAATGCGGACAGCAGACTTACTTTGTATCATAAGTGACGTCAGGTCTGAAATGCCCAATGAGAAAGAAAGACCCCCCACACCATTTATTTATTTATTTGGTTCAATTTCTACCCCACCCTTCACACAAGCAGGCTCAGGGTGGGCTACTGTGTTCCCTCTAAGCTGAGTTAGTGTGAGCCAGCTCACAGTTTTTTAGCCTCCAGCTCGCACATTGTTGTCTTCGCTCAGGAAGGAGGGCTCTCGGGCCAACTATTTTATGCGGAGGCCCAATAGCTCGCTCACCACTTTAATGCCGGTAGCTCACAAAGTAGAAATGTTGCTCACAGGACTCCACAGCTTAGAGGGAGTACTGGTTACAACATTAACATAAAAGCAATACAATCAAGATGAAAACTATAAACTTAACCCCTTACACGATGGCGATCAAACAACATCACGACGGTTACAATGGTGCCCTGGTGTTAGAAAATTAAAGGCAGAAAGTGGCTAGATCCCATAAGGGATTCCGGATTATATATAAGTGCCCTGCCCTGGGGAAACCAAGGCGGTTATCATTTTGTGTCCTCGAATACTGAAGACCACGTTACAGATGGTAACAGAGAGGTAACAGAATGGTAACAGGAGGGACCAAGTGACATTTGATATTCACTGCCTCACCCGAAAGCCTGTAGTTCGTTAGGAAAACAACCATGATAACAAAGTCGTGGTTTAAACAATTAGAAAAAAAATATTTTTAATGTGTGCTGCACCGGCATTAGATATATTTGAGACCATTTTGCTTCAAAGGGCACAGCTTTTGCTTCAAAGGACACAGCTTTAGTGATTTGTTATACACTGGTAAGGTAAAGGTAAAGGTTTCCCTTGCTCGAAAGCCAGTCGAGTCCGACTCTAGGGTTGCGGTGCTCATCTCCGTTTCCAAGCCGAAGAGCCAGCGCTGTCCGAAGACGTTTCCGTGGTCATGTGGCCGGCATGACTAAACACCAAGGCGCATGGAACGCTGTTACCTTCCCACCGAAGTGGTACCTATTTATCTACTTGCAATTTCTTGCTTTCGAACTGCTAGGTTGGCAGGAGCTGGAACTAGAGACGGGAGCTCACTCCGTCATGCGGCACCCGGGTCTCGAACTGCTGAACTACTGACCTTCCACAGCCTGCAGTTCAGTGTCTTAACCACTTGAGCCACCGCAGCTCCACTATACACTGGACACATTACAAATATATATTTTTTCTAATTGTTTAAACCACGACTCGGTTATCACACCGTGGTTGCTTTCCTAACGAACCACAGTCTGTCGCGTGATCTCTCCTTCTCCAACATAGTCTCCTGAAAGCCTGGCGGAAGAGCTCCGTCTTACAGGCTCCACGGAACTGTAAAAGGTCCCTGATCTCTAGCGGGAGATCATTCCACCAGGTCAGGGGGCCAGCTAGATCCGAGTCCCGATGCACCTTAGAGACCAACAACATTTTCAGTGTCGGGATCGATTTCGCTGGGATAGATTGCTGGAATAGATTTTGAGAGTCTCAGAAGCTCGTACCCCGAAAAATCGTGTTCGTCCCTAAAGTGCGCCTGGCCCCCAGACTAGCTGTTCTATAGCCGGCCAACACGGCTATACTCTCAAACGATCTTTCAGTCCAGTTATTCCATTTGACTGTATTTTGCCCGAAATGAACTTTTAGCTCGCAATTGCGCTTTGTTTATGATCAAAGATGAAGGAATAGACAGGCGTCTAGCTTTACTTCTGTCTCTGTAAATAAGACAAGAAGTGGAGACAAATGATACAATTTTGTTCAGGAGGAGGAACTACGAAACGACACGGGACATTCTGGAGCGCATCATTAACATCAACATCTTTTGCGCCGCCAGCATTAATTTCTTCATATTTTAGCTCTGCACAATAGATTGTTAAAAATATTGCACATATTATTGTATTTTTCTATTACCTTAAAAAGCATATTTTTTATTACTGTGGTACAGCATTATTTATCTTAGCGTCTTTATCACAGTGGGGTTTTTTTCTGTTAGCAGTTATTCTCTCCGGCTGGCCAAGCGGCGGGGGACTCTTACCTGTATCTTTATCGGCCAAGTGAAGTTGCTGACGTAGACAAAGAAAGTGATGTTGGGATTGTTGCGGAAATCAAATTTCTCGTTGGAGAAGCTGTCTTTGTACTCCTTGATCTGGCTCTTGGAAACCACAGGAATCTCCTCCCCTGCCTGAGTGCCAGCTGTCCGGGAGCGGGAGGAAAAAAGAGACAGTCAAAGTCTGCTTTTCAGCACGGATGCTCGGTGATAGTCCAAGAGGGTCCCGTTATCCCTCTCGTTATACGGCAACACAGGCGGATAATAAAACGAACAATTCCATCTAAACAAGGAAACGCTGAGCTCAGATTCATTTACTGCCGTCGATGGAAAAAAAAATCCCACGAACTACTGTTATTAAAAAAAGTTAACATTTCGGCAGCCCGCCTGAGCATTCAAGAGGTAAAACCCAGATCGATGGCATTCGGGATAATTTGTTCCCCAGGCTACCTTTATGCGATATTAAAATTATGCCTCAACATAAATTGTTACACCATTGAGTAAGTGACCATATCCAAAAAAAATCACTGGGGTGTGTGCGTGTAAGGGGAAATGAAGAGATTGGGGAAGCAGGAGGCCTGAGGATACGGTGATGGCCGCCAGCTTGGAAAACTTTAAAAGGGGAATGGACAAATTCATGGACAACGGGGCTATCAATGGCTATTGGTCATGACGGATATCTACTCCCTCTAGTACCAGAGGCAGCTGTTGCTTCCTCGAGGCAGCTAGTCGGCCACTGAGTGAACAGAATGCTGGACTAGATGGGACTTTATTCGTTATTAATTAGATTGTTTTTTTTAGTCACCACTCACTCGGTGTCAGACTCCTGGACAGAGTTACTCTCAACAACACTCTCTTTGGCAGCGATTTGTTCATTGAGATATAATCATGTTCCAGGCTAGTTCAGGACCGTGTCAGAACTGAGGTTCTGGAGGGAGAATCCAAAGATATAGACAGCTCAAACAGAACCCCCTGTCCCTTGTACCCAACTGCACTTCACAACCGTCCCGTCTAGCTTTCGCGCTCACTACCCCCCCACACACACACACCTGTGAAAATGCTCCCTCCAAGCTGTGGAGTCTTGTGAGCAAAACTTCTACTTGGTGAGCGACTGGCATTCAAGTTGTGAGCGAGCCATTCGGCTGCTGCATAAATTAAGTTTGCTCTGGAGCCCTCCTTCCTGAGCTGAGACAAAAACGTGCGAGCTGGAGGCTAAAAAACTGTGAGCTAGCTCACACTAAACTCAGCTTAGAGGGGACACTGCCTGCCACCACTTCCTGCCGCAGTTAATTCCACGTATACATTACACTTTGGGGGCATTTCTAGTTCAGTAGGAGTAGGGGGAGGGCCAGGAAGGATTAAGCCCTCACCTGCAAAACTTGTTGACCAGGTGATGTTGAGGTTGAAGTTCTTTGAAGCGTTGATGAACATGTCCAGGTCTCTGTTTTGCTGAATTGAGAGGACAGAAAACAAAAAGAGTATTAATGCCTTGAAACAAAGCTGCTGCCATTAAAACAGTGTCGGTGTGGCTTAGACAAGAAAAAAGGTCAACTGGGGTCCGCACACTGGACTCAGCCTCTTTGCCTCTGCCAGGGAAGAACATCACACAAGCTATTGGGGGGGGGGAGGGTTTGCTACAGTGTTATATTATTTATCTCAAAATGTGCAAAATTTGCAAAAGTTGCAAAATTTTATAACTTTACTGGCCTGGTCCAAGTCTTTCAGCAGTGAAAGAAGATGTTGAATAGCACTGGGCGCTAGTTATGTCAAGAGAGGGAAGGAACACTTGAAGCTATGGCAAGCCGTAGTTCTGGCACAGCTGTTCTTGAAAAAGAGCAGTTTCTGTCGGAGCTCTCTCAGCCCCACCTGCCTCACAGGGTGTCTGCTGTGGGGAGGGAGAGGGAACAGAGTTTGTAAGCCGCTCTGAGACTCCTTTGGGTAGTGAGGGGCAGGGGCATAAATCCAATCTCCTCCTCCTCCTCCTCCTCCTTCCTCTTCTTCACTGAATCAGACCCTTGGTCCACCAAGCTCAGTACAGTCTACTCAGACCGGTGGCAGCTCTCCAGGGTCTCAGGCTGGGGTCTTCCTCATCGACTCCTGCCTGGTCCTTTCAACTGGAGATGCTGAGGATTGAATCTGGGATCTTCTGCATGCCAAGCAGAGGCTCTACCACTGAGCCACAGCCCCTCTCCATGGTTCTCCAGACATTCAGGGGGAGGTCTTCCCCATCACCTCCTGCCTTGTCTTTTTAACGAGAGATGCCGGGGATTGAACCTGGGACATTCTGAATGCCAGGTAGAGGGTCTACCACTGAGCCACAGCCCCTCTCCATGGCTCGCCAGGCTCTCAGGGGGAGATATAAGCTGGGTATAAGCTATCAGGCGTATGCCCAGAATTAAAATTCGTTGGTCTTAAAGGGGCCACTGGACTCAGACTTTGTTCTGTTGCTTCAGACCAACATGGCGACCCACCAGAATTAAGCATGGCACGGGAAGCTAGGGCTGGTTCATAGTCGACTCTTTTAGTTCTACAGGAGAAAATCTGTCTCGAGGAATGTCACTAGTTCAGCCCAGGGTTGGCCTCCCTTCAAAACACCGTTCCCCCTCTGGAAAAACCAGAAAGCGGTCACAGGTGAAGCTGTCTCACACTGAATCAGACCACGGGTCCATCAAGGTGAGTATTGTCTACTCAGACTGAGAGAGAGCTCCTCGGTTTCAAGTGGAGGTCTTTCCCATCATCTGCTGCCTTTGCACCTGGAGATGCCGGGGATCAAACCAGGCACCCTGTCGTGGGTCCTGGCTCTGCTGAGGCTGACGACTCCTCAGATGAGGAAGAGGCAGAGAGCAGCCCAGCCTCCTCTGGAGTCAGCCCAGAAGACGAACCCTCAACAGCACCTGAGGAGGAAGAGTCCCTAGCAGCTGCACAGGAGGTGCAGCCAGGATTGACCGACCCTGAGCCTGGCCCAGCAGCACCCCCAGTTGCAGACACTCTGAGGCCAGACTCCCCACCCAGTTCTTCTGAGTGCCCCAGACACAGGGCACGCCGGAGGCTGACTATGCAGGAGCGAAGATGGAGTGCCAGACTGCAGCTCCTGCACAGGCAATGGGAGGAGCTGTAAGCCTTGGCAGACTCAACTCCCAGGGAAGGGAGAACCTGTTCAAAAGCAGTCCTTGCTAGAGATGTAAAATTTCCAGAAATTTTGGAGCTCGGGGAAAAAACCCGTCCCCCCCCCCCCCGGGGGGTTCTGGGGGGGACAGAAACTTTTTTTTCTGAAAAATTGAAAAAAGAAAAGAAAAAAATTGGAACGTTTTATTTTAACATGATGAATAAAATATTTTAGGACAAGGTGTTCAAATATTTTCCAAATCATTTCTAAAAAATATGTATGGTA